TGTGTGTGTGTTTGTTTGTTTGTTTGTGTGTGTGTGTGTGCTTGTATGTTTGTGTGTAGGGTTTTACTATTGTGCTTGTCTGTTTGTGTATGTATATGTTTGTGTGATTGTGTATGTGTGTGTGATTGTGAGCGTGTGTATCTGTGTGTCTGTGACTGTGTTGGTATGAGTAGGTGGTGTAATTATGTGTATGTGTGCCGGTAAGTGGGAGAAACAGCCTGACAGAGCATGATATAGATTATAGATTATCTGAGAATGAGATACTAGATAAATACTCGTGCCTTTCAAAACATACACTCAGAATGATGCTGAGTTTCTCTCGTGCCAAAGATAACACTTATTCTTCTCTTATCAATATGTTCAGCAGATTATGTCGTGTTTCTTTTGACAGAAATACGCCGTGGGTTCTCCCTAGTTCGTATACAAATGTGCGTATATATATGTATATATATGGGACTAAGGACTACCTATCTAACTACATGTCCATATACATACTTAGATAGGCCTACGACTATATCCATACACACACAACACACATATACACGCATGTGCAGTGTGTGTGTGTATATATATATATATATATATATATATATATATATATATATATATATATATATATATATATATATATATATATATATATATATATATATATATATATATATATATATAATATATATATATATATATATATATATATATATATATATATGCACCTATGTGTGTATGTATGTATATGAATGTGTGTGTGTGCGTGTGTGTATGTGTATGTATGTATGTGCACAGCCTCGCTCCGGCCACTTCTCCCTTGCTGAAAATTCCTCCGAGGCGAATTCCGTGCAACAAGGGCATTCGAGAGCGCGCTGGCCCTCCGATCACTTTTTGCCGCGGGATCAAATGAAATGCTTCTCTTTCTCTCTCAGTTTCATTGTTCACTGAGTTCGTTAACCCAGCCGTGTCATTCTGGGTATCCTAGGTGCTTGGGGCTACTGGATTCCGAAATGTAATTGGATAAAAAGCAAAAGATGAAGGGTATAGAACTTTTTTTTTCTTTGGAAAGATGCTAGCCCTAAGGGTCTCCGAGTCCGCCCAGTTAGTAATTTATCTTATTATTCTTTTATTGATTTTTTTTTTTTTTTTTTTTTTGGGGGGGGTGTTTTGTCGCTTTTTTTTTACTTAATTATGTTTTTGTTTATAAGTTTTACCTACTTGCTCTTCAGGTAAATTTGGCGCTAAAATATGATCATGGTAAAAATAATTAAATTGGTGTCCTTTTTTCAGCCCCTCCCCCCCCCACCCCCCACCCCTCTCTCCCTCCCTCACGCCCCAGAAAATCCTCTAAAAATACCTAGAGTGATAAATATATAGTGATAGGGGAAATATACAGTTTCATGCAGGTAAATTATATTCCACCACCATCTCTACTTCTATCTCCATCACTATCTCCACCATTTCCACCTCCATCTCCACCATTTTACCATCTCCATCACCAACTCGACCATCTCCATTATTTTCAGCACCGTCTCCATCACCACCTTCATCTCCACCGTTTTAATCATCTCCACTACTATCTCCATCACCAACTCCACCATTTCCACCTCCCTCTCCACTATTATCTCCATCAACATCACCTCCATCTCCATCATTTCCACCACCATCTCCATCACCATCACCTCCATCTCCACCATTTTAATCATCTCCACTACTATCTCCATCACCAACCATTTCCACCTCCATCTCCACCATATCCACCACCATCTCCATCACAATCTCCATCACCATCACCTCCATCTCCACCATTTTCACCATCTCCACTACTATCTCCATCACCAACCATTTCCACCTCCATCTCCACCATATCTCCACCCTCCACACTCCATCGCCATCTCATCACCATCACTCCATCTCCACCATCTCCACTACTATCTCCATCACCAACCATTTCCACCTCCATCTCCACCATTTTCACCATCTCCACTACTATCTCCATCACCAACCATTTCCACCTCCACCTCCACCATTTCCACCACCATCGCCATCACAATCTCCATCACCATCACCTCCATCTCCACCATTTCCACCACCATCTCCATTGTACGGTAAGAATGACTCTGAAATTCTCGAGTGGATAAGACTTCCTCTTCTGTTATCAGTATGTTATCTCGTGTCATGCCACCGCCACTCCAATTTTATCTCCATCACTATCTCCACCACTTTCACTTCTCTCTATTCACTATCTACACTTTCTCCATTTTCATCTCCATCACCATCTCCATCATTTTCACTTCTCTCTCCATCACAACCTCCACCTACTCCAATTTTATCTCTATCACCATCACCACCATTTTCACTTCTCTCTCCATCACTATCTACACTATCTCCATTTTCATCTCCACCATTTCCATTCCTATCTCCTCTATTATCTCCATCACCATCTCCACCATTTCCACTTTTATCTCCATCACAATCTCCACCTACTCATTTTCATCTCCATCACCATCTCCACCATTTCCACTTTTATCTCCATCACAATCTCCACCATTTCCATTCCTATCTCCTATTTTATCTCCATCACTATTTCCACCATTTCCTGAGTAAAAAGATAAATAAATAGATAAAGAAATAATAAAAAGCCGCATTTTAAAACAGCAGGAAAAATACTAGGAAAAACAATTTATTTTCGTTCAGTTCAACCTTTGTATTCCAATATTTGTTATCGTTCGTCAAATTCATTCAGTTCCTGTGAGGCCTATTGTCTTGTAGGCTTATATGTATTATATAAGTATTTTTATTGTGAATATTGAGTGTTCTTTGAATTATTTTCCTATGCAATTTCCGGAAAGAAAGATGATAATGTATTATACACACACATATCTATCTATCTATCTATCCTATCTATCATCTATCTATCTATCTATCTATCTATCTATCTATCTATCTATCTATCTATCTATCTATCTATCTATCTATCTATCATCTATCTATCTATCTATCTATCTATCTATCTATTATCTATCTATCTATCTATCTATCTATCTATCTATCTATCTATCTATGTGTGTATTTATCTATTTATAGTATATGTGTGTGTGTGTGTGTGTGTGTGTGTGTGTGTGTGTGTGTGTGTGTGTGTGTGTGTGTGTGTGTGTGTGTGGTGTGTGTGTGTGTGTGTGTGTGTGTGTGTGTGTGTGTGTGTGTGTGTGTGTGTGTGTGTGTGTGTGTGTGTGTGTGTGTGTGTGTGTGTGTGTGTGTGTGTGTGTGTGTGTGTGTGTGTGTGTGTGTGTGTGTGTGTGTGTGTGTTCACAAATATACTTGCAAATAAGTACAGTACCTGCTTCATCCTCCAAATACCAAAAGAACAGGTCTTCTTATTTCTTTTACAAGGTTTTAAAAAAAAAACAGGTCTCTATCTCGCACCGAAACCCATGTTCTGTGCAGTGACGTCTTGCTCCGTTTTCTTTGATTCACTGACGTCATAACAGGGGTGACTTCTCTTGATCTTGTAAGCAGTGACGTCACACCGAGAAGCTATGGGAGTGTGAATGTAAAACTGAATAAGTACGGAAATATGTGTATATAAAGATGTAAATGCACGGTAAAGAAGAGTCCGGAATTTAAATCAGTCAAGAATAAAATGAATCATGTTTGCTGTATTTCAAACATTTCCACTCTGTGTGTGTAAGTAAATAATAATAAGAAAATAAATGTGCTATGGTTTTGTACTGTGTTTTTAAGTTCTTTGTTAGAGTTAACATGTCATATTTCAACTGTCTTTTATTGTATGATGGTATAGTAGTTAAAGGAGTAGAAAGAGAGGGTAGATGGGGTAGGATAGGTGTTGATGAAAAGAGGAAGGGTTAAGGACAAAGGACGGTTAGATCAAATGAAGGATATTTGTGCGTCTGAGGAAGAATAGGTTATCAATCGAGAAGGTGGGGGATTCTGTAAGGATGTCCGACAGGTTGAGGGGTCGGGGAAGAAGGGATATGTGAGGGAAAGTAAGGGTACGGTCTTCGGCAAAGCGAGGGTAGGAGAGTAGGATGTGTGGGACAGTAAGGACATTGCATATAGGGTATAAGAGGTAAGTTAGAGGAGTGTGACATGAGGTATGAGTGAGTGAGTCGGGTGTAGCTTATTCGTAGACGGGCAAGGGCTGTTTCCTAATGTCTGTTCTGATGGTATGGAGCTGACCAAGGAGAGATCGGAGGTTTTATAGTCAAGTTTGCTGGTGTTCAGACCTGCTGTAGAGGAAAGTTTTGAAGTGGGGGTAGTAGACGGTGGTTGGGTGCGTGTGTGGTTTTCCTTTGTAGTTCATTCTGATAAAAATGTGATATTAAGAAAAAATCCATATATTGTATTTAGGAACTGTTAATTCGCTATCATAAACTAAAGACAAATCTAGAACATCGAACGATTCTTTACAATGTTTACGGTTAAATAAAAAAATGACAATGAATTAAATTAGCATTTGGTAACGAACAACATCGCAGTAATCTCATAAGCATTAAGAAGCATTAAGTATTAAGAAATTAATCTCATGTTATGTGATATCATTTCAGATACAAGTAACAAGGCATTGACATAAATGATAAGACTAATACCTCGTGAACATTATAACTGTTACGTCAGCACATAGCCTTCCCTAATAATTTTATGGCTGATTTTTAAACTGATCATTTTTTTTCTTTATTTCTATGTACTTTGAAAATTGTTGTTATTCGAATACACACTTGAATTGAATGGTATCTGAAGCCAATAGATACACAAATGGATATAGTTAGGTGTGTATGTGTGCATATACTTTTCGTGTGTTTATTTGTGTGCGTGAATGTGTGTGAATCAGGGGTGGGGGGAGGTAAGGGAGAAAGGGGGAGGGAGAGCGATAGATGAACTGATGGATAGAGAAATTGAGTGACATGAGTACACAGTGCCATATTTCTCCAGTTTCTTTGCATGCATTACTGACACATTTGAATAAATAAAATGTCAGCAAATGAATCATTCTTTGTTTCTTACAAACAACAAAGGAAAAGAAAAATAACGCCCTTTTAGTAAATTATGTCCTTTTTAATATAAAAAAAAATCACATCGACTTGCTCCAAATATATAATACGCGATGCCACTAACACACAAGACATTTATAAAAGAAAAGAAAATATTTTTTGACTTTATCTCTTCAAAAGTATCTAAAGGAACTCTTAACTGATCCTACGCCCATGCAAAAAAAAAAAGAATAAATCCTGGAACCCTAGGACCTCGAGATTTATCATCCAAGAACCCTAGCACTTAAGAGTGTTTGTAGGATTCCCTTCATTGTTGAGGTCCCAAGGTCCTTTTTGCACGGAAAAAGGATCAGCTGGTTGGCGGTTGGAATGGTTTTCCGTTTTCTGTTTCTCCGCTCTCCGTTTTCTGTTGTTTTGTTGCAGGTTGCTGGTTATTTCATGTTTGTTTTTCTTTTTTTCCTACAATTTTGGGTCACCGGGTCTTCTCTTATCTTTTTCTTTCTTTAAGCTTTCAGCAAGTTTGCGATTTCATCTTTAAGCAATATGGTTTCATACTTCTTGCTGAACCTGGAAGAGAACCGACAGAACTATATTAATAATACTAATAATCATAATAACAACTAATAACTAGTAACTAATAATGATTAAGTTACAATAATTGTGTTCAAAGGAAATTATAAAATAACAACAGTTATAATAAAAACAACAATATCAACGATAATACCGGTGATTGAACTAACAAATAATAATAAAAATCATTTAATTTATAAATAACTTGAATTTCATTATCCTCAAATCCTATCTACTCTCCCTCTCTTGCAACAAAAAATAATTCGCTAAATAACCAGACGAATAGAAATTGTACTGTATTTCATTCTGTATTTTCTCCAGCATCCGGGTTCTGACAGTTAATCTAGCAGTCTAAACGCTTAATTCCTTTTTTTCCACCTCATTCTTCTTTACTCCTTTTTTCTTCTCTTTCTTTTTTTTCCTTCTTTCACTCGCTCCTCTTTCTACCTCTCCCTCTCACGCCTTCCCCTTTTGCCAATCTCTTTCTCATACTCCTCTCTTCTTCTCCTCCCCCTTCCTCTTCCTTCTCCCTTCCCCATCCTCATACCCCCTTCTCCATACCTACTCCTATTCCCATCCCCCATCCCCAAACCTCTACCTCCTCCTCCTCCCACCCTATCCCTTCCGCCATACCCCATCCTCCTCCTCCTCCTCCCCCTTCCCCATCTCTAAACTCCCATCCCCCATCCACCTGCTCCTCTCATTTCCACCTTCCCCATCCCTATACCCTCATCCCCCATCCTCCTCCTTCCTCACATTCCCTCTCAATAGAAGTGATTTTAATGGAAAAAGTATCCGAGAAGTTAATCAAATAAAATTTCAAGGAGTTCCTGTTAATAAACATCTCTAATGGCATTACCATATTCAAAGCGTCCGTAATAAAACAACAAAACTATGTGGTTTAGCAAATCAAACTCGAAACCCTTTTAATTAATAGAGGAGCTCTTATATCACTTTATTATACCTTAGTTTATCCTAACCTTGCCTGCTGCCTTACAGTGTGGGGTGGGGCGAGCAAGACCTCACTCAACCCAATCGTCATGATTCAAATTAATTAGTTACAGGAAAAAAATATTTGGGGAAGCGTGGCCATACCAACGATGCTTTCAAAGAGCTGAAGTTACTAATATTTAACGAGATAAACACACTAATATGTGCCGTTTCTACATACAGATGCTTAAATTGTCCCAACACATTCCCCAATTATTTCCCAAACGTTACAAATAAACCTTATTTTCGAAAAGACTACTTTAGACTTCGCAAACCACTGGTCTCGTCCTCCCAGCCACAAACACACGTAAGTTATCGTGGAGCTCTAATCTATAACAAATTATCACGACATTAAAATGGCGCTCTATTTAAATTGTTTTAAATCCATTCTAAAATTTTGTTTTTACTAAACAAATATTGATCAACACTGGAACTGCTATATTATTACTGTTTTTTACTTATGTTTACGTCATGTACATATATATCCTTACGTAACCATATGTAATTCTAAAAATTAGTTTGTTTATCCGTATTTTTAATGCCAGTATTATTATTAGTACTTTATAATTTTCATAAATGTTGGTGTAATATTACAGAGTAATAACAGACAAAAGTTTTCTTATGTAGCCCTGTTGTATCTTAATATAGAATTTGAAATTATTACCACTATATATGTATCTTATATCGACTATTTTATGTAATATATGTCTTAATCTTATGTCATTGCTTAATTATTATGCTATCTTGTTTTGTAAGCATTTCTTTGTCAACTGTATGATTTGTGTTGAGCTTTTAAAGGTTATACCGATAACCAAAAAGCTCGGTCATACGCTGTATTCTGTAAAATGACGTAGTTATGTGAGTTATATGACCAAATAAATTATTTCAATTCAATTTCAATTCCCTCCTCCCATTCTCTCCCTTCCCCCGTACCATCCTCCTCCTCCTCCTCTTCCCATTTCCCCCTCCCCCATCCCTATACCCTCATCCCTTATCTTCCTCCCTCCTTCCCCCTTCCTATTCCTCCTACTCCTCCTCTTCCCCCTTCCTCCTCCTCCTCCCTCTTCCCCCTTCCTCCTCTCCCTCCTCTTCCCCCTTCCTCCTCCTCCTCTCCCTTCCTACTCATACTCCTCCTCCTCCTCCTTCTCCTCCTCCCCCATCTTCCTCACCTCTTAAACGGCTGCCCATCCTTGCCAATGAGGAATTTCTCGAAGTTCCAGGCAATGTCAGAGCGGCAGACAGGTGTCCAAATGATGCACTTTGGATCTGACATAAAACTCACGCTGTCGTCAGCTGGCAGTGGCAGTCGCTCCTTCAGGTACTGGGGAGAGAAAGACGGTCACTTTAGTCTGCTGTAAATATGTAGTGGATGTTTATTTTGCTGTACAAATATGGTGTATATTAAAGGAGAAAATATAAAAAAAATATGGATTACTGTAATATGTTGTAAATATTGTGTATATTTATTTTGCCGTATAAACATAGTGTATATTAAAGGAGAAAAAAAAAAAAGAATAAGGATTACTGTAATCTGTTGTATATTTTTATTCTGATTATCATAACTCAAGGTCTCTGGGATATGTTTATGTTTATTCTTTATCTACAAAGCATAAAATGTGTACTGTGTGATTATTATAACTCTAGGTCTCTGAGAATTATATACTTATTCTTTATCTGCAACGTGTATAGTCAGAGTCTGATTAGTATAACGGTCTCTGCGAATTATGTGAATGTCTAATTAATATAACTATGTCAATGTCATATATACGTTGATCCTAATCTGCAGTGTACATGGAATGTATGTTAATTTGATTATTAATTCTATAGGTCTCTGTGCCCTAGGGTATACTGTATATACGCTGTGTTAATTGAACAGCTATAATCAATGATCTCTGTTTTAAATATTACTATGTCTATTTCCTTTCATCATTTTTACACGCTTTACTATACTGTGCTGTTATTACTCCCATCTCATCTTTTGCGTGACAATTAATCAGATATACTTACAATAAAAAAACAACTAACATGATAATAAATAATAATGCAATGGTTTGTCGGATACAGAATATTTTGCATTTTCGATGCTGGAATTTTACAATAGCTAAAAAAAGAAAAAAAAATCAAGGCACCCGTTTCTCTAGCGCTTCTCTCCCTCCCCCGCCCGCGCCCGCAAGCTTTAATATAACCATAAGGATTACTGAGGATAATACTTGTGCTTAATGTCATTCGGCCGCTTTACAGGATCATAATTACACTAAGAGATCGTATAACAAATTTCAATTACGCACCAAGAGGTTTAATCACTTCTATTTACCTGTGTATCAGTTTCAATAGTATTCTGCGATGGCGAGTTTTACTGTATTGTATAGTAATTAAAATATGCTCAGTTGTGTTTCAATGCAGTCACTGTATTACAAATTGAATAAATATTATTTGATTATTTCCCCCCTGAATTATGTATATTAGGTAACCACAAAATATATATCTATACACATTAATCAATCATTTACCTCTATCAAAATACAATATACACATATAAATATTTAAGTAATCTCTCTCTCTCCCTCTCCTCTCCTCTCTCTCTCTCTCTCAAAGTAATGATTCTCTGTCGCTCTCTCTCCTCGCCGTGAAATATCTTTTTAAATTTTCCTCAACGAACAAGTTAGAGACAAAATCTGCTGATGAACTAGAAAAATATATCCTTCCATATCTTATTCATCTACTCTTTGCACAGTACCTATTCATATCAAAACACCTATTCATACTTATATTTCTTCTTTCTTCTTTCTTTTGTCTGCTGTCTCTCCCACTACCCCCTCCCTCCCCTCCCCTCCCTCCCTCCCTCTCTCTCTCTCTCTCTCTCTCTCTCCTCTCTCTTCTCTCTCTCTCTCTCTCTCTCTCTCTCTCTCTCTCTCTCTCTCTCTCTCTCTCTGAGTCAGTCACTCAGTCTGCCTCCTCCCCTCTCCTCTCACTTCCTCCCTCCCTCCCTCCCTTTCCCCTTCCTTCTCCTTCCCTCCCTCCCCTCTCCCCTTCCCTCCCCTCCCTCTCCCTTCCCTCCAGCCTTTCTCTAACCTCTCTACAAGTGCATCTCTCCCCGGCTGAGCTCGGTCTAAAAGTATTGATCCTTCTACAAAGCTATCAAATTCCTTATCTTTTTTTTCTATCCCCTTACTGGTATTTCTCTTTATCGCCACATTCCTTATACATTCAGCATTCACGAAAGCAGGTCTTCTATGGCCATACAATGTTATATTTTTTCTGCCTGTGAATGTCTTTACAACCCTTCTACAACCTTCAAGACGGGATTTACCGCACTTCTGTAGTCATACGATTCCTCCCGCCTTTTCCACAACCTTATACAACCAAAACAACTTTTATCTTAAAGATGTATCCCCTTTTTCAACAACCTTTCTATAACCACAACCAACACACACTTTGAAGGCCTCCCTTCCCCCCTTTTCCACAACCTTTCTACAACTACAAAAAATCCTGACCTCAAAGATTTCTCCATCTTTTTCTACAACCTTTCAAAAACCAGAACAACCCTCACAATCTTTCACAAAATCACAACCAACCCTCACCTTAAAGATTCCCCCCCCCCATTTCTACAACCTCTCTACAACCCAAACAAACCTCACCTTGATGACCTCCCCCCCCTTTTCAACCTTTCAGCAACCCAAACAACCCTCACCTTAAAAGACCTGCCCCCTTTACCACAACCTTTCAACAACCAAAACAAATCTCATCTCAAAAACCTCTCTCCCCTTTTTTCTACAACCTTTCAAAAAACACACAACCCTTTCCACAACCAATTCTAACAACCCTCACCTTAGAGACCTCTTCCCCCTTTCCCATAACCTTTCCACAACTTTTCAACAACCAATTCTAACAACCCTCACCTTAAAGACCTCTTTCTCCTCCACAACCTTTCCACAACCAAACACACAACCCTCTCCACAACTAATTCTAACAACCCTCACCTTAAAGGCCTCTTCCCCCTTTCCCACAACCTTTCAACAACTTTTCAACAACCCTCTCAACAACCAATTCTAACAACCCTCAGCTTAAAGACCTCTCCCACCCCTTTTCCACAAAAAAAAGCAATCCTTCAACAACCAATTCTAACAACCCTCACCTTAAAGACCTCTTCCCTCTTTTTAACAACCTTCCCACAACCCCAAAAAAAAAAACAATCCTCTCTACAACCAATTCCAACAACCCTCACCTTAAAGGCCTCTTCCCCTTTTTCCACAACCTTTCCACAACTTTTCAACAACCAATTCTAACAACCCTCACCTTGAAGACCTCTCCCACCCCTTTTTCCACAACCTAAAAAAAAAAAAAAAAAAAAAAAAAAAAAAAAAAAAAAAAAAAAAAAAAAAAAAAAAAAAAAAAAAAAAAAAAAAAAAAAAAAAAAAAAAAAAAAACAACCAATTCTAACAACCCTCACCTTGAAGACCTCTCCCACCCCTTTTTCCACAACCTAAAAAAAAAAAAAAAAAAAAAAAAAAAAAAAAAAAAAAAAAAAAAAAAAAACAACCAATTCTAAACCCTCACCTTGAAGACCTCTCCCACCCTTTTTTCCACAACCTAAAAAAAAAAAAAAAAAAAAAAAAAAAAAAAAAAAAAAAAAAAAAAAAAAAAAAAAAAAAAAAAAAAACTCTACAACCAATTCTAACAACCCTCACCTTGAAGACCTCTCCCCACCCCTTTTTCCACAACCTAAAAAAAAAAAAAAAAAAAAAAAAAAAAAAAAAAAAAAAAAAAAAAAAAAAAAAAACTCTACAACCAATTCTAACAACCCTCACCTTGAAGACCTCTCCCACCCCTTTTTCCACAACCTAAAAAAAAAAAAAAAAAAAAAAAAAACTCTACAACCAATTCTAAACAACCCTCACCTTGAAACCTCTCCCACCCCTTTTTCCACAACCTAAAAAAAAAAAAAAAAAAAAAAAAAAAAAAAACTCTACAACCAATTCTAACAACCCTCACCTTGAAGACCTCTCCCACCCCTTTTTCCACAACCTAAAAAAAAAAAAAAAATCTACAACCAATTCTAACAAAACCTCACCTTAAAGGCCTCTTCCCCCTTCCCACAACCTTTCACAACTTTTCAACAAACCAATTCTAACAACCCTCACCTTAAAGACGGGATCAGCTGTTGACCCGTTGACGTCGACTTTGCCGAACATAACCATCTTGGGCTCGAAGTTGTTCCCAGGACGGACGTGGCGGAGGGAGCTCAACAACTCCCCTTCGGTAGTGTTCTCCTGAAGGCGCAGAAGGAGGAGGTGAGTGTTGGTTAATGGTTCGTGTTTCGCTTATTTATCTATTCATTTATTTATTTATTTATTTATTATTATGATCCATTTTTCATTCTATTCATTACTGTTATTTATCTATTTATTTATTCATGTATTCAAGAAGCTGAATGAGAAGAAAAATAAGGAAGAAGACATGACATGAATAAGAAGACGCGACCCACCTGATACCTGATACTGGTTGCAAGGGAAGGCGAGGTGGCAGGAGGAGGCGGAGGAGGAAGAGGAAGAAGAGGAGGAGGGGGAAAAGGAGGAGAAGGAAAAGAAGAAAAGGAGAAAAAGAAGGAAGAATGACCCACCTGGTGCCCGAACTGGTTGCAGGGGAAGGCGAATGACAGGAGGAGGAGGAGGAGGAGGAGGAGGAGGAGGAGAAAGGAACAGGAAGAAAAGAGAGATAACATGAAAAAGAAGGACGAACGACCCACCTGGTGGCCGAACTGGTTGCAGGGGAAGGCCAGGACCTCCAGCTTGTCGCCGAACTCTTCCTTGAGTTGGTTCATCTGGTGGAAGTCCCTGGTGGTCGTCCCTCAGAGCGACGCCGTGTTCTGCACCAGCACCACCTTCCCCTGGAACTTCTTGAACGACACCATCTCGCCTGCAGGAGGAGGAGGAGGGCGCGGGGGTTAAAAAAATGAGTTATTTTTTTTATTTGTTGTTATTGTTGTTTTATTGATTTTACTCGTTTCTTTTTTTTTTTTTTTTTTTTTTTACTGGTATTGCGGTTTATTGACTTTTTCTTTCTTTCTTTCTTTCTTTTACGGATTTAAACATTTGCGTCTTTTCTTTTTTCTTTTTTTACTTGTCCATCCGCACACTCATGCACTCGCCCATCCATCCATTCATCCATTCACAAATATCCGAGGTGCGAACAGTGGCTAAGTGTTAAGTCATCGTGCGTGTTGTTTGTTTATGAAGTAAAAAAAAATCTATTTTCATTCATTTTCCAAATGTCATTATAAAAACACACTCGTAATTACTGGTTAAACTCCTTGAATCATATATGTATATATGTATATATATACATACAATACCTATATCTATATAGATATATACAGATAAAGATAAATATACACACACACGCACACGCACACACACACACATACACACACAATCAATCAATCAATAAAATATATCTTATAAGAGTATCTATGCACACACACATACAGATATATACATATATGTGCATGTATGTGTGTGTGTGTGTGTGTGTGTGTGTGTGTGTGTGTGTGTGTGTGTGTGTGTGTGTGTGTGTGTGTGTGTGTGTGTGTGTGTGTGTGTGTGTGTATGTATGTTCTTAATGTATGTATCAATATATATATTAAATCAATTGGACACACGCAATCTATAAAACTATAAACAAGTGAAGACGTAATGACGAAACCCAAAACAAAATTATTTTAAAAGATGACTCATGTAAATTTTGAAAAGAAAAACAAAGATTTCACAACACGTAATAATAACAAGAGGGGCTAGGATGAGCAGCTTCCACGGGAGCTTCTTGAGATCTAACTGAAGGAGCTGCCGCCGTCTTGAAGTCTTCGCTGTCTGCTGTTTGTTGTTGTTCTTTTGTGCGTTTGTTTACGTGGCTGCGGGGTGGGGTTGGAGGAGGAGAGGGGGGGATGAGGAGAGAGGGAAGGAGGAGGAGGAGGGAGAAGGAAGGGGAAGGAGGTGGAAGAGGTTTAGGGGGAAGGGGGGGGGGGAAGAGAGAGAGTTAGGGGAGGGTTGGGGGAGGAAGAGGGAGTTAGGGGGAGGAAGGGGATGAGGGAGAGAGAGAGTGGGAGGGGAAGGGGGTGGAGGAAAGGGGGGTTAGGGGGAGAGAGGGGGATAGGAGAGAGAGTGGGAGGTAAGGGGGTGGAGGAAGAGGGGTAGGGGAGGGTTGGGGAGGAAGAGGGGGTTAGGGGGGAGGGAGGGAGGATAGGAGAGGATGAGGAGAGTGGGAGGGGAAGGGTGGTAGAAGGGGTAAAGGGGAGGTTTGTGGAGGAGAAGGAGGGTTAAGGGAGGAGCGGGAGGAGGAGAAGCAAGAGCAGTGAGAGAGTTGTGAGTGAGGTAGAGAAGAAGAAGAAGAAGAGAAGAGAAGAGAAGAGGAGGAGGAGGGGGAGGAAGGAGAAGAGGAGGGGGGTATGAGAGAGAAGAGTAGGGGGGAGGAATAGAGGAGGAGGGGGACTGAGGAGAACATGTGTGGCTTTTGTTTTTATTTTTTTTTTTAAATATATAATATACATAAAATGAGTGTGCCACGTGATACTGCAAGGCATTACATCATATTCCTTAAAATAGCATATTGCATCTCTCTTCCTCTTTCTCTTTGTTTCTTTTCCCTCCCCCGGCCTCCCCGTCCCACCCCATCACCCCCTCCCCGCCCTCTCCTCTATCCCTGCCCCACTCCCACTCTCTCTCTTCTGCTCGCCTTCTCCTCCCTCTCCCTCCCCCTTTCCCATACTCCTTGCTCTCCCTTCTCCCTCCCCCCTCTCTCCTCAATCCCTATCCCTCCCCCTCTCTCTCACTCTCCCACTCCCTCTCCCTCTCTTTTCCCCTCTCTCCATCTCCCACTCCCTCATTCTCTTCCGTTTCCTCGCCCTTTCTCCTCTCCTCTCCCTCTCGCCCACTCTCTAACCCTTTCTCCGTCTCCTTCTATTTCCCCTCTTTCTCTTCTCTCTCCCTCTTGCCACTCCTTTCCCTCCTCTTCTCTCCTCCCCTCTTCCTTTCTCATCCCTCCTCCTCTCTCCCTTCTCTCCTCTCCTCTCTCCTCTCCCTCCTCTCTCTCTCCTCCTCCCTCTCTCCTCCCTCTCCCTCCATCTCTCTCCTCTCCTCTCCCTCCTCCTCTCTCCTTTCCTATCCTCCTCTCTCCTCTCCTCTCCTCTCCCCTCCTCTCCTCTCTCTCCTCTCCTCTCCCTCCTCCTCTCTCCTTCTCCTATCCCTCCTCCTCTCTCCTCTCTATCCCTCCTCCTCTTCCTCTCCTATCCCTCCTCCTCTCTCCTCTCCTCTCCCTCCTCCCTCACTCCTCCTCTCCCTCCTCCTCTCCTCCCTCTCCCTCTCCCCCTCCTCCTTCTCTCCTCTCCTATCCCCTCCTCCTCTCTCCTTCCTCTCCCCTCTCTTCTCCTCTCCTCTCCCTCCTCCTCTCTCCTCTCCTCTCCTCCCGCCTCTCTCCTTTCCTCTCCCCTCTCCTCTCCCTCCTCCTCTCTCCTCTCCTCAAGTTTACGCAAATAACTTACGTAATTAGGACAAAACTTCGAAACTCTGAACGTTGTTTGTTGCAATGTCTTCGTCTGTTCACTTTTCGCTCGATTATGCTAGTCAGATCCGTCTGAATCTGTGTGTGTGTGTGTGTGTGTGTGTGTGTGTGTGTGTGTGTGTGTGTGTGTGTGTATGTGTGTGTGTGTGTGTGTATGTATGTGTGTGTGAGTATGTGTTTGTGCGTGCACGCGTGTCTTTAAATCTGACCTTGTGTTTACTTGTGTCTATCTGCGTTTAAGTGTCTAAAGATCTTGTGTGTGTGTGTGTGTGTGTGTGTGTGTGTGTGTGTGTGTGTGTGTGTGTGTGTGTGTGTGTGTGTGTGTGTGTGTGTGTGTGTGTGTGTGCCTGTGTGTGTGTGTGTACTGTCTCTGCCTGCATCCCTGCCTAAGTCATGTCTGACTGCCTGCCTGTCTGTCTTTCAATTTCAACGGTTATTGTGCCTTGAAGATCAAATTACTTTTGTGGTAACTTAGGAGTTTTCGAGTTTTCTAAAAGTTATTCTATAAAGTTATAACTTCAGCGTCCGCAAGGCAAAGGGGGGGGGGCGAAGGGGATAAGGGGGAAGCAAGGAGGAGAAGGAGGGAGTAAGGGGAGAGAGAGAGTAAGAGGGGAGCAAGGAGGAGAAGGAGGGAGCAAGGAGAAAGAGGAGGGTGAAAGGAAGAGGAGGAGAAGGAGGAAGAAGAAGAAGACGAAGACGAAGACGAAGACGAAGACGAAGAAGAAGAAGAAGAAGAAGAGAAGAACAAAGACAATAAGAAGAGGAAGGAGGGAGAGGAGGAGGATAAAAAAAAGAGACAGCAAAACGAAAAAGAAGAAAGAGCAGAAGATATTCTTAAAAATAATAACACCTTATGAAGATAGTTCACAGCCACAAAAAAAAAGATTGCGTTCTTGCATTTTTTTTTCTTTCCCTTGCCTTGCTACATTTTTTTTCTTTTTTCTTTCGTTTATCTTTTGTATGCCTTTTCTTCAGTTCTCTCTCTCCTTCCTTTCTTTTTTTCTCTCTCTCATTCCCTTTCCCTCCCATTACTCCCTCAGCTTTTTCTCCGTCTCCCTTTCACCCTCTCACCTCTCCTCTCTCTCCCCCTCTCCTCCTCTCTTTCTCCCTCACCCTCTGCCATCTCTTCCTCTCCCTCTCTCCTTCTACGTCTCCCCTTCTTCTATCTTCCTCTCCTCCTCCCCTCACCCACCCCCCCTCCCAAACCCTAACCTACACACTTCTTTTTTGAAGCACATTTTTATATTCCTTTTTCCCCTCCCCCCCCCCCCTCGTCTCATAGACCTTGGGACAGACCTTTTAAGCCACTCCCCCCCCCTCCTCCTCCCCTTTCCTCTCCTTGTTCTTGTTCCTCTTCTTCTCCTCTCCTCTTCCTTCCCTTTCCTATCCTTGTTCTTGTTCTCTTCTTCTCTCCTCCTCCCCTTTCCTCTCCTTGTTCCTGTTCCTCTTCTTCTCCTCCTCCTCCTCCCCTTTCCTCTCCTTGTTCCTGTTCCTCTCTTCCTCCTCCTCCTCCTCCCCTTTCCTCTCCTTGTTCTTGTTCCTACCTCCTCCCCTTTCCCTCTCCTTGTTCGTTCCTCTTCTTCTTCTCCTCCTCCTCCTCCTTTCCTCTCCTTGTTCCTGTTCCTCTTCTTCTCCTCTTCCTCTCCTTTCCCTTTTCCTATCCTTGTTCTTGTTCCTCTTCTTCTCCTCCTCCTCTCCTCCCCTTTTCCTCTCTTTGTTCTTGTTCCTCTTCTCTCTTCCTCCTCCTCTCCTTTCCTCTCCTTGTTCTTTTCCTCTTCTCCTCCACCTCCCCCTTTCCTCTCCTTGTTCCTGTCCTCCTTCTCCTCCTCCTCCCCTTTCCTCTCCTTGTTCTTGTTCCTCTTCTTCTTCTCCTCCTCCTCCCCTTTCCTCTCCTTGTTCCTGTTCCTCTTCTTCTCCTCTTCCTCTTCCTTCCCTTTCCTATCCTTGTTCTTGTTCCTCTTCTTCTCCTCCTCCTCCTCCCCTTTCCTCTCCTTGTTTCTTCCTCTTCTCCTCCCCTCCTCCCCTTTCCTCTCCTTGTTCCTGTTCCTCTTCTTTTTCTCCTCCTCTCCTCCTCCTCTTACTTCTCCTCCCCTTTCCTCTCCTTGTTCTTGTTCCTCTTCTCCTCCACCTCCTCCCCTTTCCTCTCCTTGTTCCTGTTCCTCTTCTCTCCGGTGTGGCTACGTCGCTAAGAGAATGTCTAAGTGTATATCTAATATTTATATACATTTAATGTATATATCTACATTTTTTTTATTTTTTTTCCACGTGAAGGTCTTTTGTTTATCATTGTGACTTTCCGAATGTCAATATGTTTTTTTACATGTGTATGTATGTATATATATATATATATTTTTTTTTTTTTTTTTTTTTTTTTTTTTTGTCTT